TGAAGATATAAAAGGTATGCTTAATTATTTTGATACATCAAATTATCCTAAAGAAATAGATATATCTTTAAAAATTAAAAAAAAAAAAAAATATTGGGTAAAATGAAAGATGAAAACAAGGGTAAAATATTTATTCAATTTACTGGATTAAGATAAAAAATGTATGCTAATAAAACTGAATATGAAATAATTAAAGGGATCAGGAAATGTGTAGTTGAAACTAGAATTACATTCAAATTATAAGAGCTGTTTATTCAATAAAAATGAGCAATACAGAACCATGAATCCTACTAGAAATAAGAAATGTGATTTATATTCAACAAGTAAATAAATTAGCTTTATATCAAAAAAGCTGACAAAATATTTATATTAGAAGATGGAATTCATACACAAGCATTACATCATTACAAAAATGTTTTTGAAAAAATAACTGTAAATAAATGGACATTAATTGGGTATCTCTATTTGGATATTGTAACTTACCATAAACACTTTTAGAATCATTTCAAGATAAAGTTCATTAGGAATTAATATCTAGGTATCAGAAATTATCAGAAGAATTTATTGAAAAATCTCAAGATAAGGTTGACTGGATTTTTATTTCAAAATATCAAAAATTATAAGAATTTATTGAAAAGCTTCAAGATAAGGTTTATTGCGATGATACTTCTAAAATACGAAAATTACCAGAAAATTTTATTGAAAAATTTCAAGAAATTTATTTTCAGATATTAAGAATTAACAGAATTTATTGAAAAATGTCAATATAAATTTGACTGGAAATGTATTTCTAGATATCAAGATCTATTAGATGAATTTACGGAAAAATTTCAAGTTAAATTGAAAAGTTTAAGGAAATTGTACCTTTGGGATATTCTTTTGGTTTTCTAAAAAATAACTTTAAGTAAATGGAAGAATCCTTAAATGATATAAGAGCTTTGAATTTTAAAAATAGTGAAAAAATTTACTATCTTTTTAAAGAAATTTTATATGAAAAATTTAATTCAGATGCTTCTGAAAAAGGATTAGGAGAAAAATTTCAAGGAATTATTGAATTAATTAAAAGGGAAGAAAATGAAGATATTAAACTGAAACAGTTAGGGATTTTATCTTATATTCGAAAGAATTTAAGTGGTTGCAGCAAAAGTTTTCTGCCAAAAGCATTCTTAATAAAGTTTTGGGAGGGGAAACCTGGAAGTACTACCGTTAGTGAAAGGAATAATCACTGACCAAATCTATGATTTTCTGCCAATGTTTTGATAGTTTTTCAAAGCCAGAAAGCCCAGAAACTTGATGGCCACGAGTCCAGAAACAGATCAACCTCATTTCGGAGTCCTGTGCAGAATGGAAGATAGCACCAGCAAGATGTAGCTGCAGGTGTGAAAAAAGGTAGAAGTCTGAAGGAGCAATGTCCAGGGTTATACAGAGGGTGTGGCAACAGATCCCATTCAAGTCTGTACAGAATCCAGCCGATAAAAGCAGACACATGTAGTTTTGCACTACATTGATGGAACATTACCTTTTTGCACTAGAACTCAGTTCAATCTTTTTCCTTGATAGCAGTGTCAAGGTGGACTAGCATCTCATTGTACACCTTACTATCGAGGGTTTTACCTTTCTCCAGATACTCTTAATGGATAATACCAGAGCAATCCCATCAGATACAAAGTATGATCTTTTTTGTTGCCAAATTGCGCTTTGCGACGCTGCCGACAGGCCCACTGGGTGCAGACCAATCCCCTTTTTGGCGTGTGTTGTTGAAGTAAATCCACTTTTCATCATAAGTGATGATCCAGTCCAGAATTTTGGCCTTGCATTGATATTGGAGCAGATTAGCACAGGCCCGAACAGCTCTGTCCTCATCTGCTCTAGTCAACTCATGTGACACACAGTTACTGAACTTGCATGCCAAGTTTATGCGATGCATATTGCAACCAACGGACATGACACTAATGTCTAACTCCATAAAAAGCTCTTGAGTGGTTGCATACTTATCTTTTTCCACAAGGTCTCACAGGCAAGCCTCATCAACATCAGTAGGCTGGCCAGAGCGCTCTGCTTCTTGAATATCACTGTCCTTGTTTTTGAACATTCGGTGCAAAACCTTCACAGTGTTATATGCTACAACATTAGTACCTAAAGCTGACTTTTTGTAACAAAACTGGAAGTAAATGAAAATTCTAATCTGATAGCGTGATAGTTCCGTTTCAGACACCTTGTACTTAATGATGACAATATGTTTTTACAAATTTCACAACACAGTGTTCTAAAGCAAGTATCTTTCTTTCAATTGCCAAATATCACTTGACATAACATGATTAAACATGGCAACTCAAACTGTTTGCGCAGACAATAATTGCAGAGGCAGGAAACTTTCGTTAAATCCCAATATATGTTGGTGGAATTATCATTTTATAAAAGCCTCTAGCAGAAATGCTTTGCCTTGAAAAAATGTTTCCCAATAAATGGATGAAATCAATAGTCTCATGTATTATCCTAAAACTGAAAGATTTAGAGCCTGGGAGATATAATCTGACCTTATTGAGAAAAACTGAAACTAAATATGGAGATTTATTTATTGCAAAAACAGAATAAAATGATGAAGAAAAAGAGCATTTTTTTAAAAGAAGTCATGGAAAACTTTCTGACTATGCAATCAAGAAAATTAATAAGGGAAATTACATATTCAACTGTAAAGGTAGGACTGATGCAGAATATTGGTCTGAATTAGTAAAAGAATCTTAAAATGTATAATTGAAATTTGAGTCATGTTTATCCGTCATTTTAAAAATATATATTTTTATATCATTTTTATTCTAAAAACTTTGGATTTTTTTCACATCTTTAGCAACAACAACAACAACAAGTTTTTGTATTTTTCATTTTTGTATCTATAAAACACACATTTTATGCCAAAGATTTTTTTCAGTTTTTAGGCTTAAATATTAAATGTTTTGATGCAGAAATTAAAGCTAATAAATATACATTTGAAATCTGTTTAATTTAAACCTGATCTTCAAAAAAGTTATCTCTTTTGCCGGTTTGCAGGCTACAATCTTGGCTCATAACTCCCATGCAGTAATGATTTCTTTCAAGTGGAAGGAGTGAAAACTCAAACTTCTGGTTGGAAGATTACTTGCCAATGAATTCCTAGCCATTGCAATGTTCTAAAAAAACCAGACAACTAATTTTTTAGTCAAAAAACAGCTGCTGAATGAAATAGCTGCCTTTCAAAGGCAAAAAGCCTTTGAACTAAAGCTTATACTCAATAGTATGTAGATACAGAAATTTTTCAAAGCTCAACATGGTATGGTTTCTACACATTACAGAATATCTTTCTTTCTCCCATTCCAATTTGCTTATTCTATGCTTTTTTTTTTATTTCTAACTTTAGACTTTACTGGTCAAGATTTTCCCTCAAACTTACAACAATCTAGCGGGGTTAACTTTCCTTGAAGACATTTAAATTCATTTGAAGAACAAAGAGAAGACAAGATGTACTACTCTCTATAACAAGTATCATTCTGACACGACAGGTTTTGCTCTAAGACCATGACCATCAATATTTTTAATCTATGGTTAATCTTTGTTGAACTATAAAAGGCATATTACTGATATGACTATATGCTGATATAGATGTTTCACATCCCTCCTACCTCTATTCATGTTTCTAAATCTTAACTCATCTCTCCCTACTTCTTAAACTGTAAGTTCTTAAATCTGAGGAACAGAAATTGAAATCAAATGATTTCAGTTACACTAGTATTGATATGTACAACTATGCTATGCCCAGGAAATTTCATATTATATAATATTAATTTGTTACTGGCAAGGAAATTAATAGCATTACCTAAACCCAGCTTGAGGTTTTGCAAGCACCACTTGCCACATACAGGGTGAATCTGAAAAAGTGGGCAAAACTTTACAAAGCGATACAATGCAGTTATGCGGCAACATTCGTCACAGAACGTATAGTTGGAACGGACGCAGTGAAAAGCTAAAAGGTAGATTTTCACTGTCACATTTAAAGAATTAACAGACATATGAGAGGAGATACTTCAGAAAACATTTTACTAGCAGGAATGTAATTGATGCAGATGCTCAAAGAAATTGCTTGAAAGACATTCTGCCACTGTAATGCAGGCTTCACACCTGCACGACAGGGACTGACGCACATTTGCAAAGACACTAGGCATTTTCCAACTATTGCCGGCAACAATGGCAATCCTGGCGACTAGATCCACATTGGTTTCAATAGGGCAATCATAGATTAGGCTTTTCGTATGGCCCCACACGAAAAAGTCCAAATAAAGAGATCCAGTGATCTTGGTGGCCAAGCCATGGGACCACCTTGACAAATCCATCGTCATGGAAATTTTGTGGTTTGTATAACCAGCCATCATCTCACAATTCATGAAAAAAAAATCTTTGGGTGTGATTGACTGTTGGGTATAAAACTGAACCTTTTTATACCATTTACAACATGACCTAGAGGCTCGCCTTTCGCGTTCTGCCCAGACTTCGTATGATGAATATTGCTCATATAGCTGCGTTCTATCACCCTGCAAAGTGTTAACCACTCTTTAGATTCATGTTGTATTCTTTATACTCCCCACACTAAATCTCATTGGTATTTGCAGAAATTTCACATTTTGGAACTTGCACATTTTCTTTACAGATATCAGGGCATCTTATTAGCCACACATCTCTGAAATCCTATAAGTTGTATGTTCCAAGCCCCTAAAACCAAACCAATAATTAAAAAAAAAAGATGCTTCTAATGGCATAAACATTATGTATTTTAGCAATATAATTCATTCCTTGAGAATACCTTTTAGCTTCTTCCAAGCATCAAACTAATTTTTAAATGATAGTATATTCAAAGCTTCTCAATACTATTAGTACAGTTGGAATAACCATACAACTAAATTCTTTCTCTGATCTTTATATTTTGACCAGCATCAAAGCAAATGAAATAAAGAAAGCATGAGTATCATTACCTGTGTTCTTGGACTTGATCCACCACGAGGACTTTGGACAGATGTTCCAGAAGTTATGACTGGTGGTATATCAACATTTAGGAGAGCAGCATTATCTGCACTTGATGTAGCATGTGCTGATGTCAGAGCACGTGTAATTTCTTTGCTTTTCTATATTAAACAAAAAGAATTGTGACATAAAATCATGTTACAATATGTTCATAGGTTTTTAATAATGCATTAAAAAGTAATTTAATAACAGAAATTCTACACAGAAAATGCTGAAAACATATGATAATATGTTAAACTGTTATGAAGAATGCTTGTTCAATGAATTATAGTGAAGCATACGAAAACTATCTACCCAAGGAAAGGGATATTGTTGTGGAGACCACAGTCATGTTACACAAGGGGGAAAAACAAAAATATGCTCATGAGACCAGCCCACTGACGTAGTATCTAAAGCCAAATTACAAGAGTGCAACTCTTGAAAAAATATGTTAAATGTTCACTTTGCTCACAAATATTTCAAAAGCTATTATCGATTCCAAACTCTGGTTTATAGCTTTTGACCAACAATCAGTAACTGAATATTTAATATGGCCTCAGTTACTTTTACAAATAAAAACAAAATACTGATTTACAATTTTAATTAGGAAAACTATCAAGCACTTTTCCAATTACAAAATTCTGCAGATGACACGAATTGTTTTTGAAATCACAGTCGTGAGATGCAATGTCTAAAACAGCTGGTGTATTTTGCAGTGGGTGTTTTATGAAAAATCTAATTCGTTCCATGTGGGTGGTTTATGAAAAATCTAATTCTTAGCAACTTTAAAATATCACAATTTTATGCCATTGGCACAGCTACTATTTTATTACCTAGCTCTACCCATGGAATCATAATGAGATATGTACTCTTACAGTCTTGATTCTGGGACACAGAATACATAAATTAAGTTCCTATTTGTCGTCTTTCTGGGTTGGCAGTATAATGGATAAGTTACATTTTATTGACATCAAATATCCTCTAAATCCTGCAAAGTTTGTGAGAAACAGCTTGCCCAGAACTGAGTGAGGTTAACAAGTCTTCAGGCCAAAGTTTTAACCCACAGATGTAGCACTCTCTTGGTCAAACGAAAGCCGTTGAATGCTGGTAGTTTGACCTGGATTTGAAGTCAAGTTGAATGGTTGGCTGCATGGTTGGTGTTCTAAATGCATACTGAGAATATGAGGCAGTTTCTTTATAAACTTCTCTGTGTAGCACCCCTTCCCTTAGATAGGCAGCCCTCATGTCTTTGATTTTATTACATAACCTAACATAACCATGTACCATTTGTCCAATATTGAGGACTCCATCTAATTTGTAAGGCCTCCATAGCTGACTTACTTGCAAGGGGCAGATGCATATCTTACTGGTCATCGTAGCTTTAAATACATGTTTGGTGTGATTTTGCTAGTTGAACATATTGTTGATAATTGCCTCAGTGATCATACTGTTAGGTGCTTGAAAGCAGAAACGTGAAACAAATATTTAGAGTAGCAAATTTATCATGGCCTTAAAACTAATTTCATGTCACACCATTTATCCAAGCCATCAAAAATATGATGGACTTCAAAAAATGGTAATGGCACATGTGTAGCCATTATCATATATCAATATAAGTGTGACACCTCATTGTCTAAGAAGTAAAAATGCCAAGAAGGAAAATATATGATCCAAGTTCTGAAAACAATAAAATGAACAAAACTGGTTACTTATTACAAGAAGCCTAAATGACTTCATGATTGGCTTCAAAAGTATTTCTTCAACTGACATGTTAGAATATAAGTAACAGCTTTCCTTTTCCCTTATTCTTTGTTATTAGTAATGGAGAGTAAAGCAACATTACTTTTGGACGATGCAATTTCCAAAACATAATACAAAATTTGAAAGTCAGATGAAATTAAAGTCATATTTCGCATTTGCTGATTCAAAATTCATGGTTCAGAATGACAAAAAGTGATTTTTGGCAAGCTTTGAAAGGAAAATGAAGTGCCAATAATCTGTAGTATAGTCAAAATATACTAGAAACAAAACCTTACATTTTTGAAAGATTTCAAGGTTAAGAACATGGATCTTGCACAAGACCTTTGTCATTCCTGACAAATCTTTAAGATGCATAATTGCCAATTTCAGCAAAAAATAAATTTAAATAACAACGTAAGAAATGTGATATGAAGGAATGGTTGGTGTTACAACATTTTAGAAATGCACAGAGAAAATTAATGCATGTGGTCACCATTAATGAAATGTAAGCTTTAGAGTGATTTCCGTGCTGTGTATTAGACTGTCCAGGTATTTCTGCAGTAACAATGAATAGCATCTTGATGTTCCTACAGAATGTTAGATGAGGTTGGACTGATATCAGTCAGCATCCTAATATGTGCTGCATGTTCTAGCAGATTTAAATCTGGAGAAAATATGAGTCACTTCATCTAATGGATTCATTCACCTTCAAAATATTCAGTTACTAGCACACGACAATGGAGATTAGCATTGAGAGAAAATTATTATTACCAATTACATCCCTAAACAACTTGACATAAGGATCCTGAACATTATCTTTATAAATTTCAGCAAGCATACTTGCTTTGTAAAAATGTGAAAGTTAATGTGGTCATTCAAAATGATGCCTGCTCATACCATGATTTTGTGATCATTGTACTGAAACCTTTCTTGGATGTTTTCAGGTTTATTAAATATGCTTTGTTCCCTCCAGACTGAAACATCTAGTCTCCAGATCTATTTTTAAAATTACAGTTTTATTTATCACTCAAATAAAATTCTTCTTACTGTACTAGTGAAGATTATTATGATTACTTATTTCGATTTTAGTTTACTTCTAAAACCAATCAATAACTATAAAGGGAAAGACTGGACACATTCTGTCTGGGGGGGGGACTCAGTTGCATTAAACAAAAGTTTCAAATTTGCATCATAGGAACAAAATTTCCTGAATACAAAACAGGATAAACAAAGCATTTTATTCATATTTAGAGGGACCAATGAAACCAGAAAAAGTTTTGAAAAATGTAAACAAGATATTGCTCAAGTAGCGTTGATGGCCTACCCTAATTCGGATTACCCTCTGGCACTTCTCACAGATGCATCCGATTTGGCTATTGGGTCAGTTATTCAACAAAAAGAACCAAATGGATGGAAACCTATTGCATTTTTTTCAAAAAAGCTTAATGATGCCCAGAAAAATTATAGCGCTTACGATCGCGAGCTTTTTGGGTATATATTTATCCGTTAAACACTTTAAACATTTACTTGAAGGCCGCGATTTTACTATTTATACGGATCATAAGCCCTTAACGTTTGCTTTTAAGCAGAATCATAACAAAAAAGCATCTCCCAGACAACTCAGACAGTTACAATATATCTCACAATTCTCTACTAACCTACGCCATATAAGTGGTCAAAACAATGTGGTTGCAGACAGCCTATCTAGAATTGAGGACATCGATTCACCTGTTGTTGATTTTGACCTGATAGCAGATGCACAAATTAATGATGATGAACTGCAACAATTGAAATTACATTCCAAATCATTGCATATTAAACAGCACCAATTACCATCAGGAAAACTCTTATATTGCGATACCCTCTACTTCTAATATCAGACCATTCATACCTCAAACTTTTCGGATGAAAATATTTAATGCAATTCATGGTTTAGCTCACCCTGGAATCCGAAGTACTGTAAAAGAAATTACTAAAAGATTCATTTGGCCGGATATAAAAAAAGATGTTAAACAGTGGGCTCAAACTTGTATCAATTGTCAGAAAAATAAACTAACTAAACATACAAAATCAGAATATTCTCAATATCAAGCACCAGATGAAAGATTTAGTGTCCACATTGAAGTCCTTACTGATTCATTAGTCCACATTGATTTAATTGGGCCTTATTCACCTTCTAATGGATACACTTACTGTTTGACGTGTATTGATCGGTTTACCTCTCGGATGGATTGGATGGAAGTGGTACCGTTATCAAATATCACAGCAGAAAATATAGCAAGAGCCTTTTATGAACATTGGATAACACGATTTGGTGTACCTTCTTGTGTTATTACCGACAGAGGAACTCCATTCATTTCGGAACTGTTTCGAAATTTGGCTTCGCTATGTGGAGTAAAAGTAAACCACACAACTTCTTACCATCCTCAGAGTAATGGGAAAATTGAACGTCTACACCATACTTTAAAAGCAGCTATTAGATGTCATAATTCTCTTCATTGGACAGAAACATTACCAACAGTTCTTATGGGTTTGCGAGCTGCTCTACATGAGGACTGTAAGTATACAATAGCTAAAATGGTTTATGGTGAAACTATTAAATTACCTGACGAATTTTTTGAAGACTCAAACTTGTCAATATCTAATAATAATTTTGTATGTAATCTTCGAAATCAGATGATCCTCTTAAACCCCTACCAATCCAAATGTTAACAACATATTTTCATCCCAAAAGATTTGTACACATGCTCGCATGTGTTTCTGCGGGTTGACAGAGTAAAAAACCTTTGGAGCTCCCATATGAAAGACCCTTTTTGGTACTGCAAAGAACCCCGAAATATTTTCTTCTATCAATTAAAAATAAACAAGTTAGTATCTCTGTGGATAGGTTAAAACCAGCTTATGTGTTACAACCTAATGAACTTTTGTCTCCAACTTCAAAAAGTGATCATACATCTGTGCCAAGTAAGCAAACATCAGTGCCAAGTCAGCAACTAGAACAACCTAAAAAATTAACACGATGTGGAAGACAAGTAAAACTTCCAGTTCGTTTCAATGACGTTATTGACTCTTCTTGAACTTATAACTCTTTCATATTAATTTAAAACTTAATTATGTTTTTTTGTGTACATAATTTCATTTATATATTTGTATCAGTGTTATTTGTATAGATATTTGTATCTTCTCTCCCACCATGTTTTCAGAGTAACGTAACTTTGTTACTGGTAGGGGAGTGATGTAGGCAACAATTATTATTGGTCATAATAACTACAACTACATCTACTAGATAATGACTACTACTTTCACTTCACCTTTAGTTTCAGTTTAGTTTCAGAAGGTTGTCATGCCATAAAATCAGTAAGGAGTTAGTGAGGGTTACAAA